GACCAGCAGGTCATTTCAAACTTTAAAAAACTCTACACAAAAGCAATGTTTCACAGGTGCTTTAATGTGACCTCAGACACTCACTTGACCCTAAGAGAGTTTTGGAAAGAATGCTTCAGTATCCTCCATTGCATAAGCCTTATAGGTAAGGCTTGGGAGGGAGTGACTACCAGGTCTTTGAACTCTGCTTGGAGAAAATTGTGGCCAGATTGTGTCCACAAGAGGGATTTTGAAGGGCTTGCGGCTGACCCTGATGAGCCTATGTCAGTTGTGAACTCTATTGTGGCATTGGGGAGTTCCATGGGGTTGGATGTGAGTTTGGAGGATGTGGAAGAGTTGGTGGAGGAACACAACGAAGAGCTAACCACTGAGGAGCTGCCAAAGCTTCAGCAGGGACAGCAACAGATCACAACTCAGAATCTTGCTGCAGAGGAGGAGGAAGAGAGATGGAAGAAGGTGCCTTTTTCAGAAATTAAGGAGATTTTTGAAATGTGGGGTTGGATGGAAAGATTTATGGAGAAACATCACCCTGAGAAGGATGTTGCAAGCCATATCGGCAACTTGTACAGTGACAGGGTCTTGGCCCATTTTAGGGGAGTTTTAAAGAGACACCAGAAACAGAGTTCTCTGGACACTTTTTTTGCGAGACAGGGCTCCAGTGACTCTCAAGCTGGTCCTAGTGGCATTAAAAAACAGAGAAGAGAAGTAACCCCAGAAAAGGACTTGGTACCTAAGGTGTTGATGGAAGGGAATTCCCCTTCCAAATAGTAACTAATCCAATCTCTCTCCTCCTCCAGTCTTCCATACACTAAGAAAAATTGCCAATAAAAGAAAGTGTTATGCTGTCAATGTTTCATTCATCATGTCCCATTGTATTGTTTATCTATATTTCATGTAAAAAAAATTTTTGTTTTAATAATTCTGGGTGTCAGAAACGGATTAACCCCTTCAGGGTCCAAGGCCAAAATCTGAAGTGGTGCTCCAGTGTCCAAGAAATTTTGAAAAAAAAAAAAAAAAAAAATTCTTACAGAATTAAAGAGCATATTTTTGTGAAGGTAAAAAAAAAAAATTTCTGATCAGTACTTACCGAGATACAGTGCCAAGAAGTTTGTCCAAAATGATGTGGTGGCGGCAACATCGACGAATTCCACATACATGCATTACTTTATTTAGCGGTTTTTGTAGTTTTTTCTTTTCTTTTCCAATTTTTTTCTCTTCCTACTAACATTTGGGGCCTGAGAGACCAATACTGTATATAATGTATATATATAAACTCACTGTATTGAACACAATAACCGCACTAAAGTTATTATCATATTATTGTTTACCACTGTTGTTTATTACAATAAACATGCACAAATCTTGTATAATACTAATGTTCTATCATATATTTACATATTTACAATCACTGGACATGGTTTTAGAATTGCTGGAGCTTGTGGAACTCCTTGAAACAAGGCACCATACACAGAAGCACCTTACATTCCTCACACATAAACCGAGTGTCTTCGCGTCTTTGTTGCCGTCGTTTTGTTTGTGCACAGACAATGCATCTCTTCTGAGCAAATTTCTTCTGAGTTGGAGGAAGCTGTATTATGAAATGATCACCTTCCCTCCTCAAACGCTTGGGTATATCCTGAGGAATTCGAGGACCTTGTTGTATAGCAGGTGTTCTTACCTGGTACTTCATTATGAGTTGTCTGACAACAGACAAACAAAATTCACCATACGGTGGTCTGTTGCCAGTCTTTATTTGGTACATATTATATGCATTGAGCATTGAAATGTCCATGAGATGGAAGAAAAGTTTCATGTACCACTTGTAACTCTTACGAACACAATCAACAAAACCAATCTGCATGTCACATTTGTCAACCAAGCGCATGTTTTGTGTATAATCAATCACTGTCACTGGTTTTCGAATACGTTCATTAGTCACTCGATCAACTTTGCCACTGTCTTGCATTTCATTATGGTGAATGGTTGTCAACAATGTGACATCTCGTTTGTCATGCCACCGTAATGCCATTGGCAGTAAACACCTGCACGTCATCACCACGAGCACCTGCGTTGAGCTTGGGCATATGTTTACGATTAGAACGCACTGTGCCACACTCATCTGTCTTGTTCACTCGCAAGAAATCACTGAGTAATGGGCTTGTGTACCAGTTATCGGTATATAATGTATGCCCCTTACCAAGATAAGGTGCCATCATGTTTCTCACTATGTCACCTGAGATACCCAATAACATCTTGGTATCTTTCAATGTTTTACTTCCCGTGTATACAACAATATCCAACACCAGGCCACTGTCACAGTCACAGAGTACAAACAGTTTTATACCAAAGCGTTTCCTCTTACTCGGTATATACTGCTTGAATGACAGTCAACCTTTTGAACAAAATCAAAGACTCGTCAATTACAAGATTCTTGAATGGATAAAAGTATGTGCTGAACTTTTGTTTGAGATACATAAAAACATTTCTAATCTTGTATAACCTGTCACTTCTGTCAGGCCTGATTTTGTCAGAGAAGTGCAACATACGTAACAGTAAGATAAACCTGTTCACTGGGATGATTTCACTGAAGACCGGGGTAGAAATTAGCCGATCTGTGGACCAGTATGCTTTTATATTATGCTTATAGACATGAGGCATAAGCATTATTGTTGCAAAATGCAAATACATTTCTGCAACAGTCGTCTCTTTCCACCAGTGTAGTCTTGACTGTGGTGATATGATCGTATTTGCCATGGTGTACTCAAAATACTTATTACTTTCCCTGACAATAGTTTCCATCAATGGCTGGTCAAAGAATAATTCAAAGAATTCCAGTTCATTGGCCGTGGTTCCAAGGGGACAAGTAGGTAGAATTCCACTTTGAGAGTCATCAAAGTGGTGGGGCTTAGGAACAAAATTGGGATTTTGCTGCCAATCCCAGATACGGTTTGCTGGTGGATACTGGACATCATAGGCTGGTTGTGCGGGTGGTTGTGGTTGTGGTGGGCTGGTGGCTGACGCTCCGCTTTGTTCTTGAACTGAGGAGTCAGCAGCGTGGGTCCCAGCCTGGGCTCGTGAGTCACGCATGGCGGTGCCACTACCATCACCACTACCACCATCTATTGATGCCTGTGGTCTATCCATGCCAAGTGTAGCCACATCATCCTCACTATCTAAACCTGGTGTAGGGCCACGGGATGTACTCCGTCCCCTGGGCACAGCATACGGTACACTACCCGAGCGCATGCGGCGGCGTACATACCGATGCTTCACTGGTGAATATGATTCCTCACTATCACTACTCGAATGATCGTCAAGCGCAATAAAATCACAATCCGCGTCACTATCATCATCATTACTGAAGTCAGAGGCCTGGCCATGCGAAAATATTAGTTTTCTCTTGCGTTGAGGTACAACTGACCGTGGCTGACGAGTGCCCACACCAGAGGTAGAAAGTTGAGGATCATCAGGGTTTTCTGCACTGTTATTGATATCCTGGTCATTCCTTTCGGTCACTAACTGATCAAAGCCATAGAATTCGTCTTCATTTCCACTTCCATCAGTGTCAGAACTATCAGATAGGAAGAGGAGAGTCCCAATTTTCCGTGGAGTGAGAGCTGACTTGCGACGAGGCATGGTGAACAAGGGTAACTGAGCCGGCATTCCCACAATGCTATGCGGGTGCCTAGATTTTTTGTTTATGGCGCACACCCACCACGCAGACCCGTTCTCTCACATGTAGGCCTATGAGCGCTTTCGCGCTAAATTTGACGGCGCTAGAATTTTGGCATAGATCTACAGTTTGGACACTCAACGTGAAGCCGGAGATCTACGGGACGGACCCTGAAAGGGTTAATTGTATTTACATTATTTCTTATGGGGAAAGTTGATTCGAAAATCGTCTATTTCGATAATCATCACACTTCCAGGAACGGATTAACGACGATAAACGTGGCACCACTGTAATTTTTTTTAACAAGCCCAGCCCATTCTATCATAACCTAAGCTAACCTAAGTTAACTTAACCTAACTTAATCTATATTAATCTCACTTAATCTGACTTAATCATATTTAACCTAGCCCTAACCTAGAAATGTGCTGTAAACTATATGTGAAGAAGTAACATAGTTGCTTGGAGGATGGGTTGCTTTCCTATGCACAAAAGTGCATATGGAGGACTCTAATAGATCATGCCTGGTAGTTTCACTATACATAGGCAGAAGGATAGAACACTCATTATAATCAGATCTACACAAGAACATAAGCATAGAATAAAGTTTCCAATTTTTGCATTTGTAGCTTTATCACCATTTACCTCTCACTATCACTAAATAATAATTTAACATGGTAACAGTTGTTCCTCTAATAATATATACATCTTGAGGCCTACCCATCAGTCTTTTTTTCCACTGAAACATAACTCAGCAAACTGCTGTCCTGGACACCATGTCATACTGTACTTCATTTATGTACTTATTTAGCCTCTTTTTCTTAAAATAGGTATTACATATTACCAGACTTCTTTCAGTGCAACATTATTTATCAGTGAAGTCTACCAGTTTGGTGTTTCAGATTAAGGCATGCATTTTGCGCATTTTGAAGTGAATGTCTGACGTGTAATTTACCATATATAAGAATACTCTGCCAGCCACTGTATTTTTTAGTTTACATAAAAGAAAAGCCAATTCTTTGCTACACACTAAACATTTTTTCATGTACAAATAAAGCTTAAATTTATGCCTTGAAGCTTTTTTTTTCGGGAAGAGTGATGAATCGTACAATATTTGGGAGTCGCAAAGTTAAAATGCAACATGTTAACTGAGTAATTAATGGATATGTAAAATGTGTAAATTATGAATGGTGTTTATACATTGGAATTAGCTAAGGTAAGTGACATTTACTCTTCTTTGTAAGCGCTTTCCAATAGGTACTTTTGTGAAGCCTAGATTCTACTTGCAAGTTTTTGTATAGATATGATATTAATTCATCTTGGTATATAGATGATAAATCAGCAGCAGGAGCAGAAGCAGCAGCAACAGAGGTAGCTGAGTCAGTTGATGAAGGCATAGTCACACAGGACGCTCACACAGATGAGCTCGAGGTTCCATCTTTACCAGAACCATTCTTTGATACAGAGGGCAATGAAGGTATTATCCTACACCTCAGGAAAATTGTATTCATTTAATAGTCATGTGCAACCCATTTAAAATGTATAAAGCAAGAATTAATATAACCAGTGTAGAAGTAAAATTTAACTTTTTTTTTTTTTAATCTTATTAGCTGTTTTCACTTCATGGCTAAAATCTGCCTATACCTTACACTGCCAACTGTTTATGCATAATTCATTATAACAGTTTCCTTTGGGAACTATTTAATGCATTTGATTACAACTTTACCATTTGAGTAATATGCACAGTGTGTGCATTCTAAAGGATGGTCAGGTATTATGCATTTAGGAGGGTCACTTGAATTGTAATGTTCATTAATTTCTGAAAAAGTAACTTAGTAATGGATGATGGTGAGTGCCTTTCCTTCTTTGGCTTCCCTCTGCTTTGCCTGATGTGTTAAAAAATTATACTAAAATCTATAATACAGTGGAACCTCAAAAATCGAACTGCTCCCAACACGACCAATTATGGAAGTGTATTTTTGTAAGTGCTTTTATAAGTGTATTTTTGAGGGTCTGAAATGGACTAATCTAATTTATATTATTCCTGATGGGAATAAATTCATTCGGTAAAGGTACTCGAACAGCCTTCTGGACCAAAGAAAGTTCGATATTTGAGGTTCCACTGTATTAGCAATCTGCCAGGATTATGATTTATAAGTTTTTTGCTTTTTATGAATAATTAACCCTTAAACGGTCCAAACGCATATATACGCTCTCTCGCGTAGCGCCCCAAACGTATATATACGTTTCCTTTGTCATTCATTCAACATTGCCACGATAAGCCTGAGTCGCCTAGACATGAGAGAATGGGTGGGCGCACTCACTGTGCACCATATGAAACAAATTGGGGATGCCTGGGTACCGTATGCTCTTTTTTCCTTTTTTTTTTTTTTTTTTTTTTTTCAAAAAATTCGGGGTGCTATGCGAGAGAACGTATATATACGTTTGGACCATTTAAGGATTAAAGTCTGCAGAGTGCTTTCTGTAATAAGCTTGAGTCTTATAAAAATTTGTAAGATGGGTTAATTCAAAATAATTAACTGATTCATAAAAGTATTCTTTGTACATATTGTTATGTTAGCGTGAGTTGGCAGTGTATGTTCATGTAAACATATATTTAATTAGAGTAAACATTGTGTATATTTTCCTTGGGTCAATAAATTATGGCTATTAAATATTTTCTTGTGTGTTTAATGAGCACTGAATTCTGAGACAGCCAAATTTTATTTAGATGTGCTTAGATAGATGGCAAGTTCGTGCAGGACTTCCTTCCTCCGTGTGTCGTTGTCAGCACTTCTTTTTGTTGATTGCTCCACAAAAACGCTTTACAAATTCATATACTTTTGCATTCTGTTCTCTACCTTTACTTTGACCCCTCTGCATATAAGTAGCTGCTCACTTTAGTCAGAAACACTCAAAATCCCTACGTGAATTCTTTTCACAAGCCTAACAAGAGCAGTTGCAAATTTGTAGTCATAATACATTTCCTTTACATTGTTACATAATGCAACTAGGAATCAAGACAACATATAAAATTATATTACAATTATAAAAAATTATTTCTCAATGGATATAGAAAAATTAGAGTAGATATACATAGTTGCATACAAAATTTGATACAAAAGTAGGTAGGCACAAGAGAGAGAGCCACTAATTATGCAATGCATTTTGGGCAAAACTAATCATAACGCTTGCACACTACTTACTCCTAGACCTAGTATATTATTTAACCCTTTCAGGGTCCAAGGCCCAAATCTGGAGTCACGCACCAGTGTCCAAGAATTTTCAAAAAAAAAATTTGTTATTTTTTCTTATGAAATCGTAGAGAATCTTTTTGTGAAGGTAATAAAACAAAAAGTACGAAATTTGGTGGAAAATTGACGAAATTATGCTCTCGCGAATTTTGATGTGTCAGCGATATTTACGAATCGGCGATTTTGCCGACTTTGACTCCCATTTTAGGCCAATTACATTATTCCAATCAACCAAATTCTTAGCTATTTCACTAGTATTACTTCTATTCTATCGATTGAGCACAAGAAATCGCCAAGTCAACTGTTTCAACTACAAAATAAAGTGATCGGAAATTGTTAATTTGGCCAATTTAACACAAAGTTCAAAATATTCCAATTTCAAAATAGGGTCCAGAATGAACAATGTAGGCATTCCTGGCACTAAACTAACATTTCCTCTGTTCATTAGTTATGTTTTCAGGCTTTACAAATAAATTCCATTTTGATTTTTTATTCACATAATGAATTTTTATTCACACCAAAAAATAGAAGATTTACTGTTATGCAATACTGTAATAGTTGTATAAATATCATCACCATATTTGTGAATGTATATTAGACCCACCAGCTGGCGTGTATTAGACGTGTGAGGTCGTTTGTTTACTCTTGAATATCGGCAAAAATTTAACATTTCTGCTACTTTGAGCTCAGTTTCAACCCATTTCCAGTGCTAAAACCAATCAAAATCATCTCTATTTCTGTAATATGTCTTCCATTCTATCAAATGAGACCAAGAAATCGCAAATACAACTATAAAAAACATACGAAAAAACACTGCAAAGTTGCTGTTTTAATCGAAAAATCATGATTTCATTTTTTTTCTCTCATTATACACAGTGTGCTGCAGGATCTGTTTTATGTGGTGCACACATACCACATAGATGTATTCTCTCATATCTAGGCCCAAATGTACCACTCACAGTTTATCAGTGAGCTGAGCTCATGGCGTAGATCTACGGTTTGGACCCTGAACGTAAAGCCGTAGATCTACGGGACGGACCCTGAAAGGGTTAAGACAACTAATGTAGTTCACTACAGCCACAAGTACAATGAGACAGGTTGCTAATGACAAGTGATAAATTACAAATGAATTGCATAGTACAGTGGACCCCCGCCTTACGATATTAATCTATTCATGTGAGCTCATCATAAGCCGAATTTATCGTTAGCCGAATTAATTTTCCCCATAAGAAAAAATGAAAATCAAATTAATCCATTCCTGACACCCTAAACTTAAAGTATGAAAAAAAAATTTCTTTACTACATGAAACATTAATTTTAATACACAAACTGAAGAAGACATGCACAATTACTACTCTACTAAGAATAGAATACATGACACTTACCTTTATTGAAGTTCTGGTGATTGATGGGATGGGAGGAGGGGAGAGTGTGGAAGTTGTTATTGTTTAGAAGGGGAATCCCCTTCCATTAGGACTTGAGGTAGCAAGTCCTTTTCCAGGGTTACTTCCCTTCTTCTTTTAATGCCACTAGGACCAGCTTGAGAGTCACTGGACCTCTGTCGCACAACAAATCTGTCCATAGAGCTCTGTACCTCCCGTTCCTTTAAGACTTTCCTAAAATGGGCCATAAGAACATAAGAAAGAAGGAACACTGCAGCAGGCCTACTGACCCATGCAGAGCAGGTCCATTCCCCCCCTCCCCCGAATTAGCCCAATGACCCACCCAGTCTGGTCACATAAGAACATAAGAAAGAAGGAACACTGCAACAGGCCTACTGACCCACTGACCCATGCAGAGCAGGTCCATGTCCCCCCCCCCTCGATTAACCCAATGACCCCACCCCGGATTACCCCAATGACCCACCCAGTCTGGTCACCTCCACTCAAGGATGGAGCACGGCACCAGACCCAGCAGCACAAGCTAGTCAGGTCCAACTCACACCCACCCACACCCACTCATGTATTTCTCTAACCTATTTTTAAAATTACACAACGTTTTAGCCTGAATAACTGTACTTGGGAGTTTGTTCCACTCATCCATGACTCTATTACCAAACCAGTGCTTTCCTATATCCTTCCTGAATCAGAATTTTTCCATCTTGAAACCATTGCTGTGAGTCCTGTCTTGGCTGGAAATTTTCAGCACGCTATTTACATCCCCTTTATTTATTCCAGTTTTCCATTTATACACCTCGATCATATCCCCCCTAATTCTACGCCTTTTGAGAGAGTGCAGATTCAGGGCCCTCAGTCTATCCTTATATGGAAGACTTCTGATACATGGTATCAACTTTGTCATTCTCCTCTGTACGTTTTCCAGAGCATTTATATCCATTCTGTAATACGGTGACCAGAACTGAACAGCATAGTCTAAATGAGGCCTAACCAAGGATATATAGAGTTGAAGAACAACCTGAGGACTTCTATTATTTATGCTTCTAGATATGAAGCCAAGAATTCTGTTAGCTTTATTGCAAACACTAATGCACTGTTGTCTTGGTTTTAGATTACTCCTAACCAGAACTCCTAAATCCTTTTTGCAATCAGTAGTATTAAGATCTGCATTATTTAGTTTATATGTGGCATGGTTATTTAACTGTCCAACATTTAGAACTTCGCATTTGTCAATATTAAACTGCATGTGCCACTTCTCCGACCATTGCATCAGTCTATTCAAATCATCCTGGAGTGCTCTAGTGTCCTCATTAGAATGAACTGGATGGCCTGTTTTGTGTCATCAGCAAATTTGCTTATGTCATTATTTATTCCCTCATCTATGTTGTTTATGTAAATTGTGAACAACAACGAGCCCAACACTGACCCCTGAGGAACACTGCTTGTGACGTGCCCCCATTCTGATTTCTCCCCATTTATGCAAACTCTCTGCTGCCTATTTGTCGGCCATGCCTCTACCCAGGAAAAAATTTCTCCTCCTGTTCCATGTGCCTTGAGTTTCTTCAGTAGCCTCTGATGTGGAACTCTATCAAAAGCCTTACTGAAGTCCATATGCACAATATCATATTCATTACCATGATCTACCTCCTCAGAGGTGAAAAAAGTGAAAAAAGTTAGTAAATTCGTAAGACAGGAACGCCCCTTTGTAAAACCGTGTTGAGATTCATTAATCAATCTGTGCTTATCAAGACGGCTACGAATTGCTTTGGCAATTATTGATTCCATAAATTTTCCCATTGTGGAGGTAAGGCTTTTTGGTCTATAGT